TGTTCATGTATGGTGGAATCATAATCTAAGCAAAGTTGAAGCCAGGCGGAGGCTACTAGGTAAGACAGACAAGTCAGTCGATGAAATTCGGAACCTACAGCTACTGAGATGGCTTTAACATGTGTTTTGTATGCCGAGTCACCACTCACCTCGATATACGATGCTAAACGATGTTGGATTAGGCTGGAGGGGGGTCCTGGGTGACCAGACCAAGGTGTGGCACCAGTCCTTGAAGATTCTGAATGTTAGTCTAACCCATGTATGGAGGTGTAAGCTACTTGGTTAGGGTCTCCAAGACGACAGGAATCGCTGATTGAGAAATCTTGGAGAAATGGCTGAAAGTCAGACAAAAAGCTGTAAATGTATTGACTCTTTGACGTCTTCTGTCACATGAATTGAACTTCATTTTCCAATTCCTTCTCCTCCAATAAACCTTTGTCTTCTTCGATATCAGTGTTTTTCTGTGAGCTTTTTCCTTTTCATACTATTGTGAAATGTGGGAACTTTATCCCATGGATCTGTATGTAAGGTTCTAAGCTGATTTCATTTGTCTATCTCTCTGTCTATCTATTATTGATCACTTTGTGTGAGGACTGGAAAACAAGGCTAGTATAAACACATATTTACTGTTGTATTGAGCATAAGTTTTAACTTTGCAATAAACCTTTATTATTTGACTATATGAGATAACCGTGGTTTGGCAGACTAGTAATCATACTGGGCGATGATTGAAAGTGAGATGAAAATTTAGAACATGGATAGATTCGAACCAGCGACTACCGGGTTTCCATCCTTATGCCTGATGCTCAGTTGGCAGAGTATACGGCCAGAAACCCGGTGGTCGCCGGTTCGAATCCGGTGACGGTCCAAAGTTTCGTCTTACCTTCAATTATCACTCAGTATAAACCTTTAATCGCTTCTTTGTGATCCCAAGGAAGGAATTAACTCACAGTTTGAAAATGTGAAGTTTGATGTTTATAAGTCTACACGGATTCTCTTTTCACGTTATATAATAAAGTGAATGAAATTAAAATTGATGAGCAGTGAGTAACAAATTTAGCTGACCTGTTTCTAGTACTAACCAAAATTTGAAGTTGGAAACTATTGATAAGTTGATGGTGTGGTTATGAGAATTCCCTTCGAAGTATTATGTCACATATAAGAAATTTGATTTATGATCTCATCGCTTATGTCCTTCTAGAAAAGAGATAGGTGGACGATAATAATTGTGATTTTTGAAAAGCATGGAAATATGGTCTGTTTGTTAAAAAGGCTTAACACTACACAAAGTCATAATGGTCTAATATTTGGAGGAACAGAATGGCAATCACCGATCATTCTTAGACGTTCTCCTGAGTCAAAAAGATAGTTCAATGGGATGATTGGTCTATAAAAAGTTTACATGGACAGCAAAATATCTGAATTTATTAGTTTGTATCCAATTCACCCCCCAAAATGCCTAATAAAATGCCTGTTTACTGGGATCTATCATATCTGTTCATCAGATACGATGGATAAAGATATCAGGTTACCAACTAAACACTTACTTATAAAGGACGAATATCCACTGAAGGTCGCAAACTGTTGCAGAAGCCAACTAACATCAAAGCTGACTTTATACTCAGCCCTTAAGAAATATGCCCATATTAATCTACTATAAGAAGAGAACAGGTTGTTGGTAGAAGAGACCTGACAACACTATATCAAATAACCAGGTTACTATCATTGAAGAGATCAACACAGATGAAAACAAGGAGAGATATTGAGGGAAACGTATTTAACACCAAAGAGAAGAAACAAAGGGAACGATTAGCTGAACACTTCAAAAAACTCTTGCATTGACCACCATTACCATCTGCAACTGGTTCCGAGATCAATCAGTCAAGTAATCACCATAAACATAGGACCTGGCATTACTGCGTGACGCTTCGAGTTGCTACATCTAATATCAGTACATCAAGTAGAAAGGGACTGAGGTGAAAAATCAAGATAAGAAAATTCAGTCAAAAGAAATGCAGAGTAAGAGAAGAAAGAAAGGAAGAATGAGAAAATGGTGAGAACCAGCATAATGTTAAGATGAAAATAATGTGTGTATACATCTGCGACACTGACATCGGTTCTCAGCCATATCACATAGACTCACCAACCACTGGTTCCTCTTGTCCCACGGACCTCAACCACCTAGTCTGCATCGTCCCACATGGCTCAAACCAACAGTCCAGTCAAACACTTCATACACTGATGTCATGTTTTAGTCTAGCCACCTCAGACCTTTCTCCAGCCTGGACCCACCTCAGCCAACATTGTGTGACGAGACAATCGGCGACTAGGCATACGTTAACACACGTCCAAACCATCTCAGTCGATGAAGGTTCATAACCTCGTCAACTGGTTTACCTCTTCTCCCTAAAACTCTATACCTGACATCTGCGTTACTCATGTGGTGCGGTGACACCACGAAATACAGCGTATACTACGAAGGCAACGGTGCTCAAACACTTGAAGCCAGCCTTCTCACGTCTTCCACCTTCAATGGGCATGTTTCACAGACATACAGGAGAACAGACCGGACTGATGTACAGGTGCAGTACACGCAAATCTTAATAGACAATCGAATATCACGGCGGCGCCATAAGTGAGGTAAGTTGGCGAAAGCCAGCCGAGCCTTTTGTATCCGTTCAGAGATCTCACAGGCCACTGAGTCACCAGGGCAGGGCTGATCCTACTCCCCAGGTAAGTGAAGTGGTCAACACACTCAATCACTACACTCTCTAGTGTTAGCCGTGGCACCGCTGAAGACCAGTCCTGGAGCAACAATTTGCATTTGGGTGGTGAGAAACACATCCCAAACATTCTCAAATTCTCACTCAAAGTGTTCACAAGACTCTGCATCTCATCAGTCAGAGTCTTCACCTAACAGGACTATGTCATCTGCATATTCTAGGTCTAATGAAAATTCTCCACCGATTAGGTCAACGTCTGTGTAATCAGGAGATGAGAGGGACATCTCCATAAGAATATCTATGGTAAAATTGAATAAGAATGAAGAGGGTGGGTACCCTTGACGGACATCGCTCGATGAGTCCAGCTCCTTGGACATCTCACCATAGGCTCTAACACGCCCACAAGTGTTCGAGTAGAGAACCTTCAATAAGGCGATGTACTTACTCAGCACGCTTTTCAGTGAGAGACATAGCCATAAGACTTCTCGATCAACGGAGTTGAATGCCGCCTTCAGGTCGAGAAATACAGTTATTGTTGGGCGTCGGTAGGCGTGTCTATGTTCCAGGACCTGGCGCAGTGTGAATATTTAGCCGATACAGTCACGGCCTCGTCCAGCAGAACAGCTAGATAACCATCAGTGAACACATATCCTTTGACGAAAGCAGAAGTGAAGCCATGGTCGGCATAAAATGGCTGAAAGCCAATAAAGCAACAGGATCAGATGGAACTCCTTCGGAAGCACCGAAAATAGACACGGAGACATCAGCGGACATGCTGACACCGCTGTTGCAGAGAGACTGAAAAATGTGCTGCATTCAAAATTACAGCCGGGAAAGGCTGGCTGACTTCAGGAGGAGAAAAATATCTGCGGATCAAATTGCAACACTAAGCTACGCATAACCATAAACACAGCATAGAATATTATTCAACTCGACTCTACCTCAACTTCATAGATTTTGAAAAGGCCCTGGTTCGATACCTTCCACCGAGAATTACTTTGGCAGGCAGTTGCTTCAACACTACTGTTTTAGTGTCACAAACATTTATGAACCTCATTCAACAGCTGCTGTATGCTATATGATGCTACATTGCAAATGATTGGCAATGGAAAGCTTAGTGATGCCTTTAAAGTGAAGACAGGAAGGAGTAAAACAAGGTTGCCGCCTACTATTAGCTATGACCTTCCTGATTGTGTTTGACTGGACTGGACTGGACCATGCAACAAACTGTGAGGTGCCAGAAGATGAGAATACGCTGGTTGGCCTATGAAAGGGCCCTAGAAGATGATCTGGATTTCGGCAATGATGATTTATGTCTAATGTCTTGTCGCACAGACTCGAAGATGTACAGGCGAAAACTAACAAGGTGATAGAAGAGGCGAGGCAGCAAAGGAAGATGGGACTTCCTTAAGGTGAACGTATAGAAGACAGAGGTAGAGGTGATGAAGATACCCAACCAACAACAACAACAAGCACCAACTACCATGAACGGGAGAAATCTAAAGGAAGTTATCTCTTTCACCCACCTACCTAGACAGCATTGTCTCAACTGCAGGCGTTGGCACAGGCAAAGATGAGGATGTGAAGGCCAGGACCAGAAAGACAGCAAGATAGGCCTTCATTAATCTGAAATAATCAGTGTGGAGATCTACTACACTCCACCGCACTACACTGTATTCAGCATAAAGTGTGAACAACATCCGGATTTTCAACACTAATTCCATCACGTCAGTGCATCTATGTGATGGTTCAGAAACTGGGGACGTTACGAAAAGCATTTCTGACAAACTACAGACATACATGAAGAGCTCATGTCTACGCTCTCTCGGTACTGAAGATCGATGAGATGGATGACCAGAATAATAAGAATAAGCAACAAGGAACTCTGTTTGGCTTGCAACGAACCAACCAAGAACTTATCGTCCAGCAAATATGTAGAAGAATAAAGTGGAGATGGATTGGATTGGACATACACTGAGAAGATCGATTGGGGATATCACATGTTGTTTTAGAACATATGACTATGGCTTTGCTCTTTTATACTGCTAAAGCTTTCGCAATGTGTGTTAAAGGTTGGCTTAGACCTTTTGAAAGTTTTTTCAGATTTCGATGAAATATGTTAAACAAATCTTGGAGAAGCATGTGTACCCATTGTGAACCAAGTTTTGCAGAAAAGAAATGTTGATTAATTTGCACACAACCTTAAATAGCTATGTCGAAAATTGTTCAAAGTTCCACAGAAAAACTTCCCTCTAAGTACCGCTAATATAACTAGCTTTACAGAAAGACAGTAGTGTGAGTAGTAGTAGTAGTAGTAGTAGTAGTGTGAGTAGTAGTAGTAGTAGTAGTGTGAGTAGTAGTAGTAGTAGTAGTAGTGTGAGTAGTAGTAGTAGTAGTAGTAGTAGTAGTAGTAGTAGTAGTGTGAGTAGTAGTAGTAGTAGTAGTAGTAGTAGTAGTAGTAGTAGTAGTAGTAGTAGTAGTAGTAGTAGTAGTAATAGTAGTAGTAGTAGTAGTAGTAGTAGTAGTAGTAGTAGTAGTAGTAGTAGTAGTAGTAGTAGTAGTAGTAGTAGTAGTAGTAGTAGTAGTAGTAGTAGTAGTAGTAGTAGTAGTAGTAGTAGTAATATACTTTTCCTATCGGATGTGTATTTTCTAAAAGTTCACTACTTTAAAAAAAGGCGACTTCTATTTGATTGTAACAATAACTTTCAGGAGACAAATATGACTTCTAAGGAAACTGCGTATATCATGGAGACAAAAGGAGTGTGATAGACTCTCAAATCTCCGGTGAAGTATAACGCCATCTCTGGTGATGTGAAGTGACATAGTGATTAATTTGACCTGTCATATTTTAATGGATTTCATTCATAAGATGTTGACCCAAATTGAAGTATGAGCTAATCAGCTTGTCTATAGATCAATCAGTTAGTTGAAAGACTGTAAGTAGTTCAGTCATTCATTCTTCGGTGTTCAGTGCTAAAAGTTTATTTGTTAGACGCTTTAGGCCTAAAATGATCTCAAATTGGCACTTACTACCCTAGTACTTGTATTTTTGGGTTAAAGTTTTTGTCGTCTTCATGGTTAGAATCTGCACTGCTTTTTGGTAGATTCAGACGTGTTAAGTAGAAGTTGTCAATACTGTGACTACACCTACAAGACTGAATTACCAACAGGAATCATTTACTGTATGATAAATGATGCTGTTTACGAACAAATCACCACAAGCCAAACTATGTCTTTCAAATGAGCAGAAAATTTATCTATTGAGCTTTATGGGAGCAATGAATCCAAGTTTATTGCCTTCTTTTATTCACCAGTAACATGTAGCCTTCAGCAGTTTGTCGCATACTTGGTTGTTGGACGTCAGTGCTCAATTAAAATAGTTGAAAACAGTTTTGGTTAGCGCCAGTGGACGAAATTTTAAAGAAACAGTTGTCAAAACGTCATTAGTGGAGTTTCGAACTACAACATTCAAAGTTGATCTATAATAACTGAATCGTTTCTGTATTAATTTGACCTTGCTTCGTGAAAGAAAGTTACACTTATGATGTATGATCCTCACAGAACTCCTGTAGGAAAGCAAGTTAACAGCTGTAGCTGTCAGACTTAGTTCCTCCTACGGTTAACTTCAAACCTTATGGGGATCGCATTCGAAAAAGGTTTTTTCTCCGCTCACCTCAAAATACTAAGTGGTAGCTTATTCTTTTGACATTATTTGTTGACTAAATAACACTGGTATTTGCTTAATCATTGCAATTTCAACTTAGAGGTCGCTTAGAGTCCTAAAAGTATGTTTCCTTTACATTGATAAGTAAAGGATAACGAGAGTTCCGGTCTGGAAAATCAGTGTCCCCATCAAAAGACAGCTAGTCCTTCTATGGTGTAATTGGTGGGCCGGATGAATTTTACTCATATCATTCACTTTGATCTGCCAGGTTTCAACTAAACAATAGTGCACAGTGAATTACTGTCAAGTCTTGTATAAACAGTCTTTCTAACTATTAGTTGGCTGGCGGCAGTCGGTAGGATGACCTGCTCAACCTAGGTTTCGTGCTTTTTGGCACTCATCAGCAAATCATATTTGCAGCCTAGATGAAAATGATGTCCCACCTGAGATTGGAACCCACATCACACACTATTTCAGTCAGAGACAATACCACTGAGCAATTCGGACTTTAGACGAATGTCTGGATGTGCTAAGTGTGCACTGCTATCTGTTGACAACAGCAGTCATCCTGGGAAAGAGACCATACTAGTACAATTTGTTAATTAGCATGGCGTTTTAAAACTCTAAAAGTAAAAATAACAAAAAGTACATTGATGTTGACTGTGACTAGATTCCTATTATCATGTTGGACAAAGGGTTAGGTCGGAAAAAAATAGTTAATACATAGTTCAAGTTGTTATTCATCGAAGACTGACATCAGTTGGAGGAACAAAGGAAACCTGGGAGCACTGGACAGCTGTTTCGTCCTAGTATGGGACTCCTCAGCAGTGCGCACCCACGACCCCACCAGCAGGGATCGAACCCGCGACCTTCAGGTTCCGCGACCAGCGCGTTACAGCTGTCCAGTGCTCCCAGGTTTCCTTTGTTCCTCCAACTGATGTCAGTCTTCGATGAATAACAACTTGAAATATTTCCAAATCTCCACAACCCCCTCAAAATTTAATACATAGTTGTAAATCTTCACTTTTTTTTATAATACTACTTAAACTACTACCAAGTTATATAAATAGTAAGATTTTACTTCAGAAAATAAAATTGAGATGAAGACTAGCGTGGAGACTGTTTTGCTGCAACTTTTCTTTTCTTTGTGTGTTTATTTAGATAAAGTAGGATGAAAAGGAAATAATTATTGAAAATAAATGACACTTGACTAAAGAAAAACAACTGAAGTGGGAAAGTATCAGTAATGATAAAAATGATAGGCAGGTTCGAAATTGAACAGATTTCGTATTTTTGACATTTGTTTCCTGTTTTTCTTTTTGTTATTGTTAAAAAATAATAACAGATCTATAATAAGTCAACTTATAAAGCTAAGCTAATAATTATCGGTGTTTTAATCGTACTTCTCTGAGGTAGCATTGTTAATTCCTAGGTGAGTATTTGGGTATATTTTGAATAACGACGTGAATTATGTTATCTTTAGTCAGGAAGTTCACTAATTCATTATAAAGAGATTGTTTTTCTCTCATTCATGAGAGAAATAGAGAGTATATATAAAAAATGTATACAAATAATTAGAGACAATATATAATTGTGATAAATCAAATTCAACTGAAATTTTTAGTTTTATAAGGATAGAAGTGAAAATTAAGGAAGTGATTGATGACTAAAGAAGTGTGAGTTGAGTAATAGTAACTTTCATAACATTTTAGTCGATGAATAAGTGATGTAGTGAATTGGCTGTTGAATTGCCTACTTGGAATCAACAGCTTTTTACAATAATAGTAATTTCTGGAAGCGTTTACACGATTAACTAGTTGAACACTAGCCAGTTTTGATGTTAAATAATAGGAGTCAATCCTTAGGAAACCCTGAATATGGTGGGTTTTTTGCTGGCTAGCATTCATCAACAGCCATGTAGCTAACTTACTAGTAACCGATTTGTGTAGATAATCCTATCCTACAAAAGGTTGTACGTGGCCTGCATAGCTTAATGATTGAGTTTCTGTATTCATCACTGACCTACGAAAGTTCGAATCACTTAGAGAACACCAGTTTTCACGTGGTCGCGAAAATTGCTTGCTGATAAGTAGCGACAAGCACAAAAGCTATTTTCAGATGCTCCTTCGAAGTAACACCATCGACGGACTTTGATCAGTGCTCAGCACTGAGGAATAAACAGCTAGACTGATTATCTACTGATGACCGAAATGTGTACAGTAGGTAGTGTTTGTCATCAGGTGGTTACGTGTTATCGACTGCAGTCTTTAAATGGTCCTGGTAGAGAGCATAGCTGGACAGTACTGGCGAATTCTTCGCTTATACGAAATAGTTATTCTGCACTCTTCAGTTTTTAGCTATTCCCTAGCTGAAATTATTCTGTGATGAAATCTTCCTTGGAAACAGTCAATCCCTTACTAATCTTCTAGATGGATTGCTCAAAGTTTATCTGATAAATTTTGACTTATGCGGTCAACCAAATTAAATAGGAGGATAAATACTCCTGAATGATGCTCATGGTATGTTTTGCACTGATAGGAGTTGCATAATATTGGTCACTGGATCCCGAACCGGTGACTGAATGGTAATAGGCTTTTAACGTGAAACTGATGTTTACTAGCTTCATTTCCAAAGGCGACATGGAGTCACATTACTAACGAGCCACAAGTTTGAACGAAATAGCTTCTCAGTGATTCATCAGCTGAATTCAAACTAAGAAAAATATTATAATTTACTTGGTTTTGGCTAGTAGAGGAATCCAGAAAGCCCGTTTCATCCCGTTTCGGGCTCGTAAGGTGAATGTGGTACTTTTCTTACTGAAGTTCGAACATCGAACTCATCGCTTCAAACGACAAAACATTACTCACTAGGATACTGGGGCACGACAACTACTTCTTATACAACGGGTATAAGTATCCAGTCGACGAATCTAGTTTTCAGGTAATATCCAGGCATTCGCATAGGAGCCCATATAACAATACAGGTAGAACAATTCGATCCAGTAAACACAACGAAGAATTACAAACATATCAATAGATAGTAATATGAGTAATAATGTCCCAAAATTCATGTCAAAATGATTAGAACTAGTTGATAATATGAGTTTTAATGTGGTAACATTCAAAAAAACTTTACTCATTAAGCTGCATGAAACGACAAATCTTGCTATAACCTGACTTGATCTGAATACCATTAACCAATCGGTCAAGAACTAGTTTTAACAAGATGCTACTCAAGTAGATTCAAGCCTAGTCATAATGGAAACTATAAGAAATGATTGAAAAAGAAGTGAGGAATAGACTTGCAATCACTCACTCATCGTGTATCCTTTTATCTTAACTCAATCACATCAGATATATATCATGCTTCAACATATCTGAATTTAAAATTGGTGTTCATTATAAACTGAGGTTAGTAGAGAAACATTAAAAACCTAAGAGCACTAGATAGCTATTTCTTCCTAGTATGAGACTCCTCAGAAGAACAAATCCATGACCTCGACGAGGACCGAACTCAAAACCCTCACATTCCATGATCAGCAGGTGAAAATTCAGCCAATTGGTCTAAATCCAGTTGTTCAGATTTTCAACTTCTGTTAGTTCACGATATAGTGTGACCATTACCCAATGTCATTGTTGTTGAGTATTTGTCCTCACATCTAGTCGATTTGCCCCATCTGTCATGATTTCTGAATTCTGATATCTGAATTCACCAGGACAAGAAACAAAGTGAAAAAATCAATTAGCTAACATTCCAAAATATCAATTAATACATTATTATCAGTCTAAAATGATCCCATAAAACGGGAAGGTTGATGATAATAATAATGAGTTTATTCCGAAATCTATTTCTGGGATGTTCTACAGAATTTTCAGCATGACATATAGCATCATTTGGATAGAGACAATACATATGTATGCATAACAAAATGAAATAAGTAGAAATGACATATAGGAAAGATAAGAAT